ATAGATAGATAGATAGATAGATAGATAGATAGATAGATAGATAGATAGATATTGAATGGTATATATATTGGTTACACTATATTGCAAACGTGGGACCAAAAACGAGTAAAGTCGTGTCTGAAGAAAGTAGGACGAGAACGGGAAATGAAACGATAATGAAGGGAGTAGGCCAGAGACGGGTGCACTGGGACAAACTGACCGTTTAAGTAAGCCCTACACCACAGGAACCGAGAAAATATTCTGTACAAACACAAAACTTCATTGTGAAAATTTAGACAGTATAGTTTGCTTTTGTTTTTAACGATTTTATTTGCACTCTTAGGTTTGGCAGCATGTTGTTTACATTTATGGTGAATAAACAATTTCAAGTAAAAATATTTACCCGCAAATATTGGCGGACAAACTCTGTGTCCTCTCCGAATGAGAAGACAGCAGTGAGGATGGAGTATTTAAAACGCACCCACCTCCAATCCTCACCCCCCCCCCCCCCCGTTCCTCTCTCTATCTCTCTCTCACACACACACACACACACACGCGCGCGCACACTACCTTTGTAAACGACCAGTTGGTCACTCCAGAGTCCAACCACCCGCTTGGTAGCGAGCCCTGCTTTATTTTTATTTTTTTAGTAAGTGTTTTACGACACTTGCAACACAATGAGATCATATAAGTGCCGGAGATTAGATGTGTTACTAGCGAGTAACAAACACAAAATAGAAGGAGGGGAGATAAGGATGATAGATCTAGATGTTTGATAGGAAAGAAGAAGCAAACCACACCAGAGCACCCACCAACCACCCACCCTGTTTTATTTGTTTGAGTAAACATAAACACCTGCACATCGGCACAGTAATTGTCATTTTAACGTGCTAGAGCTACAGGGAAAGGGTAAGACAGAAAATGTCTTTGGCCTTTGCAAGAAATTTACAGCATTTGCAATACAGTGTCATTTTATGTGTCGAAGATTTGAGGTTTTACAAGGGAGAAATAAACACACAAAAAAGGAGATGGTAAGGTGTTTTATGGCGCTCGCAACTGCATAAGAGACACACCAAACATTTTCAATTGGTAGGAAATTTTGAATTTCGCCCGGGTGGCGGCCGAAGTCTACTCTTCAATTTTGGACCACCAAGGGATCTTTAACGTGCACACGAGATCTCCGAGATTTTT